CAGTGTTCGGCCCAGATTCTATGGAACTGAAAACGGACACATTTTTCCGCCGAACACCGCTGAAGCCACCGACCTCTCTTCTCAATCGACAGAAGTACACGAACACCGGCCGTTCGGGAGTTTGAAATGCACAAATGGACTTAACCCAGATAGCCTTCCCATGGAGTCAATCGCATACCGAAAGACTGTAATAGACTTTGACTCCATGGCAATTGAACTATGCGTATGGGATCTGAGCGCTATTCGCCAATAATATGCACTCAGATCCAGGCTATCTGGTGATATGTGATACGAATGAGAAATGTTCGACAATTATAAAGTTATGTATTTTTATGTGTTTTTGTGTTGTATTTAAAATGGCGATTTGCCTCTGTCCTGGGAGATAATTGAATTACTTCTCAATTATCTCCAGGGCAGAAGGGAGGAAACCATGATGCATGCTGGGTATATTATGTGCCTGTATGTCCTGAAATGCCGTATGTCCATCTGCCATTACAGTCTCCCATTTGGTCCCCTAGGGGAGTGTCCACCAAGTGGGAGACCTGCATAAATACGGGCGGGTAGCCCACAGTAAACCCAGTTCATGTTTTACCCTCAATGCAGAGCTTGGTCTCGTTATTGGGGGGATTTATTACCGACGAATAGAGACTGCCGGATGGGATTATTAGCCGCGTGGGAGATATATGCGTTCGGCTACTAGTGGCGATTCGGGAGTTTGGAGCTCGGGAAGTGAAGTACCCGTACGGGTCCCATTCGGGAGATTACAGCGTTCCCCTGTTTGCGGTTCGTATGATTGCAGTTGATATAGTCAATGGAGTATATTCAAAGCATGGGCTTGTCACCAGTGGGGTACCTCAGGGATCTGTACTTGGACCCATTTTTATTAGTGATATTGCAGAAGGTGTTGATGGTAAGGTATGTCTTTTTGCTGATGATACTAAGATATGTAACAGGGTTGATGTTCCAGAAGGGATAATCCAAATGACAAATGATTTAGGTAAACTAGAAAAATGGTCAGAGTTGTGGCAACTAACAATGTGGATAATTGCAAGTTCTAACCTCAACATCTGAGGAAAGGGATTTAGGGGTGATTATTTCTGATGACTTAAATGTAGGCAGACAATGTAATAGAGCAGCAGGAAAATTACAAACACGAACACTTGGAACACAGCCAACAATTAACTTTTTGCCGCTCTCATCTCAGATTAAAGTGGGGAAAGAGAGAGTCAAAATACCATGTCACAGTCCAGGATACAAATAATTGCATGTGATATGACCACAATCACGCATGTGATATGACCACAATCACGTCACTCTGGTCACATCCAATTTGCTGCTTGGGAACTACCTGGATTGCCAAACAGTACTCCCGATCAGATTGTCAAGAAATCACTTGAGGGGACGGGGAGGGAGCGGAAGGTGCACATCCAGTAGGATGTATCATTACGCTCTAATGTCCTGAATGCCCATGCCATTTTATGAAATCAAAGACAACATTTACACCGGATATACTTTACAGCTATTATTTATAGTGTCAGCATGAAATTAATTTTGCTAGAATGTGAGATGCTAGATGGAGAAAGAAATTTAAATTACAGTTCTACAATGTCTCACATTCTCAATACAAGATACTTTATTCCCATGTTAATACACGGATGCCTCATAAGACCCTATAAAATTCCACACATTCACAAGATCAGAAAATTTCTATTTTGTGTGAGTTCTCTGATGTCTAACAAGATGTGACTGCTGGCTATAACATTTTCCACATTTAGAACATGAAAACGGCTTTTCTCCTGTGTGCATTCTCTGATGTTCAACAAGGTATTTATGCTGGCAAAAACATTTCTCACATTCAGAACACGAGAACGGCTTCTCTCCTGTGTGAGTTCTATGATGGCACACAAGATTCGAGTGACTGGTAAAACATTTCCCACATTCAGTACATGAGAATGGCTTCTCTCCTGTGTGAATTCTCTGATGTGTAACCAGCTTTGATTTAGTGACAAAACATTTCCCACATTCAGAACATGAGAAAGGCTTCTCTCCTGTGTGAGTTCTCTGATGTACAACAAGGTATGTATTCTGGCTAAAACATTTCCCACATTCAGAACATGAGAAAGGCTTCTCTCCTGTGTGAGTTCTCTGATGTTCAACAAGTTTTATATGCTGGCTAAAACATTTCCCACATTCAGAACATGAGAAAGGCTTCTCTCCTGTGTGAGTTCTTTGATGTATAAGAAGGTGTGTATTGTGCCGGAAACATTTCCCACATTCAGAACATAAGAATGGCTTCTCTCCTGTGTGAGTTCTCTGATGTATAACAAGGTATTTATTCTGCCTAAAACATTTACCACATTCAGAACAGGAGAATGGCTTTTCTCCTGTGTGAATTCTCTTATGTTCAACAAGTTTTGAATGGTGGCTAAAACATTTCCCACATCCAGAACACAAGAACGGCTTCTCTCCTTTGTGAGTTTTTTGATGTGTAATAAGGTTTGTATTTTGGTTAAAGCATTTCCCACATTCAGAACAAGAGAACATTTCTGCTGTGTGAATTCTTTGATGCCTAATAAGTGCTGAGTGATGGGTAAAACAATTCTCACATTTAAAACATTAGAAAGGTTGTTGCTCATGTGCAAGTCCTGAAATGAACTTTTGAATAATATCTAAAACATTTCCCACATTCAGTACATGGGATTTTTTTCCATTTACTATCTCAGTTGCAGACATAGGAGTCTGAGAGTTGGAATGCTTGTTCGGTAAAAGATTTCTTCAAACTCTTGCTTAATGCATTTCTGTTCTTCAGGATCAATTCTGCTGATGGAAACACCTAAAAGAAATGCATTGGAAGTTACAGAAAATTTGTCACTCTAATTGATCTATTGTTTAAAAGGATAAAAAGCTGTATTCCTGGCACTACCGATCCCTCTGACTCCCCCTCCCTCTCTCATGGCTGGTAAATAAAAAGTTAAAAACCATTTACTTACCTGATCCCAACTCCGATGTCCCTTGCCGCTGGATCGAAGCTCCTCCTCTGTCTTGCACGTGCATTAGAGCTCCCCAAAAGAAAGCATTAAATCAATGCTTTTCTGTGGGGAAAAATCTGACGCTTGAGGTCTTCCTGCAGAGCGTGAGGACGTCCACTGTCAGATAACAGACCAAAAGTCTGTTACGATTCCGGAAGACTTCTAGTGCCTGTCTGATAGACAGACACTGAAGGCAGATTTAGAGCTGCAATGTAAATACAAAAGGGACACAGACCACTTCAATGAGCTGAAGTGGTCTGGGTGCCTACGGTGTCCGTTTAACAAAGTAAGAAAGACAGTTTCATGTAAGACCAGAAATTACAAAAAAGCAAAACAAAACAAAAAATTGGGATAGATAATTATCTTTGAAAAATATTAAGTGCCCAAAATATATTTTGTGTCAAATACATGTATACATGCTTATGAGCACAACATTTATCTTTTCCAATCTTATACTTATATTTCAACTGTGCTGAAGAACTGTTTCTGCATTCCTGGCAGATGCCAATAAGCTTTTTTGGAGAGTACCTTTAGGGTGAGGGAAAAGATGAGAAAACATACAAGTTATCTTTTCTCCAACATCTGTCCGAGTGTGTGTTGTGCCATTAGGCTTGTTTATGACCATACGTCCGGACCAAAGGATCGCTGGTTTTAGCTTTCTTCTGCTTCTAACCTTTCTGGCTAGGAATAGATATTGTTAAAGAGAAACGTCCAATTCTTTACTGTATAAGTAGATTTGATATGGATACGGTCACAACTATAAACTCTATATATTAATAATTTTCATTGGTAGACTTCCTTTGCAACTCTCCAATACTGTCAATATTCCTGCATGTTCCAGGCTTGACAATGGCACTTTTTTTTATTTTAAAATGAAATTAAGTCCATAAAGCCTTACTTACCTACATTATACTTCATTGATTACCACCTTGTAGGAGGGGAGAAATCAATTATGTGACGAGACCAATCTCGCCACATTGCATTGGAGAAGCCTGGTTGCTCGCCTGCTGCCTTTGGACTATGGCCCCCTTTTAAAAGACTTTATTTTTCCATGCAGAAAAGCCATATTCATGCTTTTCTGCCGGTTGTTCGGTAGTTTCAATCTACCGAACAACCGTACGAATGACTGGACCACCTGGGAGCTGGAGTGTGCCGGCAATTAACCTCCCTGAAGCTGCGGTTAACCGCAGCTTAATTGATGAACGCTGGGTGGCCGCCGTTCGTATCCCGAACACGAGGTCGCGGCCATTTTAAACCATACGAATGAACAGCGGTGTTCGCCTCTATTTTCATGGAACTAAAATCGGACACAGTTTTGCGCGAACACCGCTGAAGCCGCCGACCTCCCTTCTTGTTCGGTGAAAGCACACGAATGACCCGGTGTTCGGTATTTTTGTGTGAATGTCTTATACCCCAGATAGGAATCCCATGGAGCCCATTCGTATGAAACTGACTGTAAAGACTTTGGCTCCATGGCGATTGAACTGTATTCGTGTAGTCTGAGTGCCATTCACCTAATAATGTGCACTCAGACCTGAGCTATCTGGGGATGTGTTACATGCCTGTGTTTAATGTAGTAAATGTTACTCTATGTATTTTAAAGTATAATGCTGTTTTTGTGTTCCCACGTGTGTAATGGAGTTTTGCCTTTGTCTTGGGAGATAATTGAGTTACTTCCCAATTATCTCCCAGGGCAGAGGGGAGGAAGCCAGGATGCATTGTGGGAATATACTGTGACTGTGTGTCCTTTTTGTATACTTGTCTGTCCCTTGTCACAGTCTCCCATTTGGTCCCCTAGGGGAGTGTCCACCAGGTGGGAGACCTGCATAAAAGCTGGGCAGGTAGCCCTCATTAAACAGACCACTGCTTGACCCTCAACACGGAGCCTTGTCTCGTCTTTGGGGGGATTTACTGTATGCTGCTAAGGACTGATTGCCAGGAGTGTAAGCCGCTTGGAAGCTTTTTCTGTTCGCCTGCTAGCAGCTATTCGTATGGTTCCTGTTCGTTTATTTGAAGTGCTACCTTATTCCCTTGGATGCCGTTCGGGAGTTTGGAGCATTCACTTACTGGCGGTTCGTGAGTTTTGGTGATTCTACAGTAGCTGTGCCTGTCTCTGAAAAGGGGGATTTTCGTCTAAGCGTTTTTTTCCCCTTTTGTGCAAAACGGTCCGTTACAAATTAGTTCTCACATCTGCCTCTCAGCATTATATTAGCATTGCAAAGATTGTTAAAAAATAAAATAATAATAATATGCCTTGATTTTGGAAGCATGTAAGAATACAGGAACATGTTCAGAACATAAAAATGCATTTGAGGAACAATTTATTTGTATATTTCAAAATTAAACAAAGATCCTACAAACATCCAATTCATTGGGTATTTAAACACACAACAAAATTGGAGGGGTGTAGATCTAATAAGATAAATAGGCCAATCAGAAATGAGGTGGATTTTTTTATTTAAATACTTTACTACCTCATGGTCTAACCAGTGAATTTAAGCTCTGCCATTTTAATGACTTATTTACAATTTGTATTTTAATGAAATATATTATTGTGTGGGTCCTACACTAACAATTCACCTTGCATGCTTCAGCTTCAGGCAAAAAAATATAAATAAAAAACAAAAACAAAAAGCAAATATACAAAAAATAAATCCTGCGCTTAGACTCCCACTACTCCTGGGCGGCAGCAGTGACCATAGTACACATCAGCCCCAATACCCCTGTTATCTCTCCACAGAACCCAATCATGAAGTTTCTGATTCGTCATTCTTTATCTATTCTGGGAGGACCCTTACACTCGTGTTTCTCCTTGAATGGTCCTTAAGATCTGTTGTTTTCCTTTGAAGTTCTTCATATTTGGGTTTTAATTCTTTAAGAGAATCTTGCGGTTAATAGTTTTTAAATCTTAACTCAATTATGGCAGCATTTTCATTTACTTACTGGTGAAGGATATGTATTTTTTTCTCTTAATTCTTTCACTAGGTCTAAGCATACTTTTTTGATCAAAAAATATTTAAACTGATCCAGTATGAAGTTTGGACTTTATGGGATAATCACCTGTTTCTTCCTTGTCTTTTTTTTTGCCATTTCCTTTATTTCCCCCTTTGTTTAATCCATTGGCAGGGGGTGGGGGGGGGTGATAAACAATAGGATCATATTTACTTATTTTGTTTTACCTCCATCTTCTTTGCCTTTTTGAGTATTTTTTTTTAGGTATTTTTTTTTTTTTTGGACGCCATATTCATGTAGGTCAGGTCATCTTGTCTCCTTCCTTTAATTAGATGGGTAAATTTTGGTTTGGAAGTTTGAAAGCTTGATACCCTGAGGGTTTTTTTGCCTCAACATTCCCTTTTCTTTGGAAAGCATTTTTGCCTTTTTCACTCGACAAGCGTGACTTTTTCAGAGGTTTCTCAGATAGAGTTTGGAGCCTAATCAACTTTAAATTCAATACAATTATACAGGTCTACAGGATTGCAGTTTGAAGTGGAGTACAGAATCACTATACTGTAATAAATTTATTCAACAATGACTATTTCTTCAATGCAAAAAATTAAGATGAGATATACACTGATAGCAAAGGTTTGGAAGTACATTAGAAGCAAAGGTTTGTTCACAGGCAGGGCTGGATTAAGAGCCTATTGAACTGTCCTCCAGTATCAGCACCAGGCCCAAGGAGAAACAACATCAGAGTAAGGGGCATCCCAGAAGAGATAAAAAATGAAGAAGTCAAAAACGTAATGCTGGAGTTCTTTAAATTATGATGGGCTGTATTACAGAATCTAATCAACAGAAAACACTAAACACAAAAAGTTATACCTCCCAAATATAAATTTATCTGGTGGAGGTGGTGCTGGAGGGAAACTCATAGGTTATAGCTATAAGAAAATACATATCCTATGCTAATCTCTGGCTTTCATTTTCCAAGTGAATCTATACCCCCTAACAGCAGTGTCCGGTGAAGGAGGTGTAACGGATCGACGGGCACCCCGTTGGAGGATGCTCCTAGCGCTTCCTGAGGACTTCAAGCACTGCAGCAGACACCACAACCACTGAACCGGAGAAGCATACAAATGCTCTCAAGCATATGAATGCTGTAAACAACTGAACAGGAAAAACATACAATCAGCTTACACTCCTGGCAATCAGCATACAATCCAATTCCCCCAATAACGAGACGACACGTTTTGAGGTCAAGCAGAACTGACTGGACTGGCACATACAGCCTCTTTTATTCACAATCCACAAATATAGTACTGCCCACAGGGTTATGAAACACAGCCAATCAATCCGTACAATACACACAGACACTCCCACACAAAATCCTCCCCTCTGCCTGTGATATGATTACTGAACACAATGGTTAATATAATTATCACAGGCAGAGAAACACAGTATTATAAAACATATCACAGGGACCCCTAAACATGCAATAACCGTATAAAAATATATATCTGGGTGAACCACATATCCAAAATTCACCCAGATCCATTCAGTAGTTTGGAAGATGCAGTTTAATGCAGATTCCGCAGAACAGATACAGGCTAAATGAAAAATAATTACTGTATAATGTGTCCCCTGTTGTATAGTTTAAAACTAATGAACGATGTCTTCGTGCACCAAATACTGTCGAGATGGCACCGTGTAGAAAAGTACAAACAGTGTCTGTGAGTTAAAATGGCCGCCATCCATTATTCTCACCATGTGCTTCATCCATTGTTCTCACCATGTGCCTCTGATACATGAAATGGTGGCCACCCAGTAACTCCACAGTATGTCCCCAAATGGTTCTTAAAGGGCCAGCAGCAGCATAATAAAATACGATATGCCCAAATACTGTATTTAAAGGGCCAAATCTCCCAGGGGCCATAGTCACATGGCAGGAGGCTGGCAATCAGTCTTCTCCAATGCCCAGTGGCGAGGTCGGTTTTGTCACAGGAGGATTTTGGTGAGCGGGTTAAAAGGGTGGGCCACTGAATCACGTAACCAGAACCGTGCAAAGGAAAAAAAATGCCTAAAAAAGGGGCAAGAATTAGATGGTCAGTCTGATGTGCATGAACGTCAGGCTGCTTGCCAATTGTGCAGGCTGACCAACCAAGGTCATACTGTGCAGACAGCATGCTGAGCTTGGCATAAATCCATCTAATGATGCAATAGCTCTATGCTTTCTAAGGACTGTGCACTAGCACTCGCTTGTCCACTCCTCTCCTAACCTTCTTACTAGCAGTCAGAAGCTCCTGTTATACAGCCTGGGATAGAGAAAGAGTGTATGTAGTGAGTGTGGAAGAAAGGAAACATGCCACAGTGTTAGAGAGACTGAAGGGCAAGAGCATTTGTATAATGCACAAAGTCAGTGTGACAGAACACCCTGTCACTGACAATACTTTGTTCGTATGATTTTCCCATTCCAGTTCGAAACCCAAACAAACCCATGATATCCCCATTTTCTATACCTCCCGTACTCAGCCAACCTTGGAACTTTTTAACCCTGTTGTCCCCTATTCATACCTCCAATATCGGTTTACACCCCACTGTTTCAAGTGTTCTGCTGGGTGGCTGCCATTCACATGAACGAGCACGTGGGAAATGAGTTGGCGGTCATCTTGTCCCACAAAAGCAGGCAGCGGTGCTCGGGCATCCAGTGCAAGGAACTGAAATCGGACATATTAACTCGCGAACAACGCTGAACTTCCATCATCGCCTGCTTCGTTCCCTCACATCTCAGGAGAGCGCTGTTCGGTAGGATTTCTCACACAAACTAGGCGAACAATCACTACCTGAGAGCCAAAGAATCTGTTTGGTGTTTCGCTCTTTTTGGACTCCCGAAAGAGACAGACTGCCACCACTTTTCTCCTGGAACTATTTTGGGCAGGCGTCACGTGTGCGGTCAGTCAAAACTTTACCCTGGTGGTGATTTGGTGGGGTTCTTGGGATCTGAGCAATATTTGAACACTTTGGGTGCTCAGATCCAGGCTATCTAGGGATATAGGGCTTATGTTGGTCTCGTGTAATATTATATATAGGTTATGGGGTGTTTAGAACACTGTACCTCTGTGGGAGCAGAGCACACTTAATTATCTCCCAGACACAGACGCCAGGGAGGAGTTTGTATTGGTACATGCGTATAAATTGCATGTGCCATATTTCATTAAACCAGTTCACTCACAGCATTCCGTGTCCCTATCTGGGTGGCCGCCGCAGTCAGCTTTTCTAATTGTCAGCCAATCAACACCAGTTTTGTTCCTTTACCTCCCTCTTAAAGTTTCCATAGTTAAGCAAAAGCATGTGAAGATTTTTTTTTTTTTTTTAATATCATCATCATCGGGCCTGGAGCTGCATGGATATACAGGTGATACTCAAAAAATTTGAATATCGTGTAAAAGTTCATTTATCTCAGTAAAAGGGGAAATTAATATACGAGATAGACACATTACATGCAAAGCAAGATAGTTAATTTTGGGTTTTCATGAGCTGTAAGCCATAATCATCACACTTATGACAAATCACGGATTGAACTATCTTGCTTTGCATGTAATGCGTCTATCACATATATTAGTTTCCCCTTTTACGTTGCATTACTGAAATAAATGAACTTTTGCACGATATTCTAAGTTTTCGAGTATCACCTGTACATCCAAGGTTCCTGCACTCCAACTTCACATGATAAATACCTGGTGCTCTGGTTACATAATATAAGTAATGAAAAAATACCAGCACGCCAAGGTTTTAGTAGAAGATTGGATCTGAAAAGAATAAAGAAGATTCTAAACGGTCAACATTTCAGCTCTTAAGCAGAACTTTCCTTAGGACATGATGTCCTGATGAAAGCTCTGCTTAAGAGCTGAAACGTTGACCGATTGGATCTGAAAGAATAAAGAAGATTCTATCTTTTACTAAAACCTTGGAGTGCCGGTATTTTTTCAAAGTTGTATTGCTTCTGTGATTTTTCAGGGGCTGGATAACTGGATAAACAGCATTTATAATGCTTTATGGTCCATCTTTTCCCTTGTTTTGCTCACTAAGAACAAGGGTTTAGTCAATTAGTCTCCCTTCACTTTTTCTTCCTAATCTGCAATTCAGTTTCTCTTCCCCTTACTTCTTCCTTCACAAATTTTTATGTTAACAGTTTGGTTTTAAGAAACAGCAATGAAACAGTAATGAAACAGAATATGTGTTAAAAGTTTCTAGACTTGGCTTTTAAGCTGTGTGTAGAATGCAGATTGTTTGTATGAGTGTGTGTGTATTTAATGCAGAGTATGTGTTTGTAGGTGTGTGTGTGTGTGTGTGTGTGTGTGTGTGCGCGAGTGAACTGGGTGGGAGGAGGGCATTTTTATTTACATTTTTTATTTTAATATTTTAATTTTTTTTATTTTATTTTAATATTTTAAGTTTTTTATTTTATTTTAATATTTTAAGCTTTTTATTTTATTATTTTTTATTATTTAATTTAGTTTTCGTCCCCCCTCCCTGCTTGTTAGCTTGCCAGGGTGGGGGGCTCTCACTCCCTGGTGGTCCAGTGTATGGGTTGTGTAGGAGGGGGGGCTGACAGTGAGAGGTTACTTACCTTCCTGCAGCTCCTGTCAGCTCCCTTCTCCTCCGTGCAGCTCCTCTGACAGCTCCCACTGGAAGTCTCGCGAGGCAAGTAACCTCTCACTGTCAGCCCCCAACAGGACCGCCGGGCTTGTAATGAGCCCGGCGGTCCTTGTCTGTATTATGGCAATGTAAATTGCCACAATACAGACATTAATTCGAGTATTAGTCGAGTGGGGTTTTTTCAGCACAAAAAATGTGCTGAAAAACTCGACTTATACTCGAGTATATACAGTAGATTTTTTTTGTGGATATAAACCAATTTATTAGGCGCTTATCCCAGAAAAAT